CTTTATGATAATTAATATATATTTAAAAACACAAAAAATAGAAGAAATACATGCACATTTCATAAAAAATAATGTTGTAAATAGTTATGAACAAAATTATGATTTGCTACACTTTAGTTAAAGCAAATGCAGACCTAGGCAAAATTAAAAAAACTTACAATCGTCTCCTACAGGACCAGCAGAGCATTGCGCCGGTGGATCTCTACCAAGGTCCTGAAGTTCCTAAATTCCAAAAAAAGTTGAATAATTATATAAATACAACATCTGAAGTACATATATAAAAACATACAAATCTTAATCAATAATTCACATTTCATATATATATTCTCATAATTGCTGCATATTCTCATGCTTTGCAAGGATTTATGCTATTATTGAAATTAATTTCTTTTAAAGAACAATGTACCTTATCAATAGCATGCATTGCATAATAAAGCTTCAAGCATTGAAATCTATATACCTGTACGTTTAAAAAACATGTGAAGTATGTGTAAACAAAAATACTCTAGAATATTCTTGCATATATACATATTATGGATATGAATTACATTCATTTTAGTGTTTCATAGCACATCATATAGGTACATAAATATATAAGGTGATTCCATCAACCTTTGTATTGTGCATCATAAAAGCATAGTTTAAATTAAATCATCTTTATATAAGATAATCGTTCAACAGATAGAGAATACTAAGGGAATACCAAGATAAAGGAAAGTTAACTTGAATATTAAAACATAGCTAAATACAGTTAAGACTACAGTTATGATTACAAAGAGCAGTTAAAATAAATGACATTAAACTGATGCACATAAAGAACTCACACATCAGTGCAAATTAAAGTACTTGTACTTGTAACATTATAACAGGAATGTGATTATAGAATCAAAGCTAAAAAGAAAAGTGGTACTTTGTATTTTGCATGATTATTCTGAGAGCAAGACATCTAGAGCTTTCTATTCTTTTGTCCCTCTGCTTCGAATAATGGTTCGATTGAGAAATATTATAATGACTGACAGGTCAAATCAGTCGCATGCATCGTGTATAAGTACATAAATCCTAAATGATTCACTTTATCTCACTAATGTGTGCTACAATCACATGGTGAAAATCACATTGTGCTTTGAAACAAATAAGCAGGGGTCACTTAGAAAATTCATAATAGTATTTCTACCCACAAATGAATGCACTAATGAAATTTTCGTAATTTCTGAGTTATCTATAGCTCCATGTATATATGTATATGTATATATATATATGTATATATGTATATATATGTATGTATATATAGATGTATGTAACGCACGGTTTTACGTTACTTCCGGCAATTTATCGGCTAGCCACTTAAAATTTTTTTAGATTTTCACTGTCACCGTAGCTATGTCCACTGGCACAAAGTGGCACTGTGCAGCGTGCGCAATGCACTATGTCGACATAAACGCGTACGCAGGTAAATCAAAGCACAATCGAAGAATGCAAAAAAAGGGGAAAAGCCAACATGATTTTCAATGCTGGCTCACATTGCTTCACTGCAAAATCGTTAAGGGCGTTCAACCGCATTCGGCACACATCACATCAACACCCGACTGTCTTTGTACAATACGAACACCGTTTATGATTCACGTACCTTATTAATTCGTTTTAAAGCCATTTGTTGAATTGTGTGTTGATATTAACCGGCTGAAAACCAGACAGCGATAGCCGCTAGCCGAAGATCTTTGATTAGGGATTGCAAGATGGCTGCCTTCTAAACGTAGCCTTACTACGTTGATCAAACCAGAATCCGCAAGCTATTCTTGCAGCTTCTCCTCCATGTTCAAGTCAATCGTTTCTTATTAAGTTTACTATTATTTTAATAAATAAATTTTATAACAAACACATTTTAAGGATAAATAGTAATTTTATGCTTTCTTTTATACCTTTTATTGTGAAATTAAACCAGAGACTACGGATTTCCTTTTATCGGCAACTAGTGGATTTTTAACATTATACCATCATTTCTCGGTAGATGTCGCGATGAAAAGTATAAATGATTGGCCAATCGCGTGATTAAACGAATTCCGTTCATATGCATACACATACTATGTATGCATGTGCTAAATATTTGCATCGTAATGACGATGATATAGTTTTTAAATACTCTATGTAGCTACTGTGCTGTACTTTTTTCTTTTATGAAGAAATGTATCTAACAACTAACCTTAAATAGTGAAGATGCTACAATATTTAACGTAAAATAAGAAAAAATCGAGAAATAAACAAAATTTTATTCTGACTTCATAAATTACAAGTTTTATGTATATTTACATTGTGTATGACATCAACATGTTCCCCGAAAATATTTTTCAAATTATGCCTATATTAACTACGTTTTACATGACAAAACAAAACAAAATTACGTTGAATCCAAATATAACACAAGGTTAGATAAGATCAGAAAATTAACAAGTATTATTAAAACACACATTGATATTTCTTCAATGTCATTGTACATAAAACATATTTCGTAATATTTTATAATTATGATGGAGAATAGAAGAAGAATAATAGGATGTCAGTGTGCTCAGCAGCAAAAAAAGAAAGATCAGTGTAAAAGAAAGAGACAAACATTTGTATACAATCCGGAGGAGGAAATGTGGCATGAACCGTATTTAAGGGATTTGCGGAAGGAATTTTCCGATGTGTCTATATTGTGCGATTCGAAGATCGAATTGCCGTGGAAGGATATTGCATTACCATCAGCTGGCATGAAAATTCGTCAAGAAGTATCGTTGACTCCTTTGAAAAATCGCGATGAAAATGGTGAAGAGGACGCTGAGAAAGAACCAGCGGAAACAGAATCCCTGGGCACTATGCTTCTACCGTGGAAAGATTTAATCATCACGGAAACAGTAGCGTCGAAAGATCTTCATCCTGACAGTTGCGATTCGACATTAGAAATTCCATGGAATGATCTTACACTCGAGAAACCTGTGGAAATACGACCAGTGCAGGAGGAGGCTTGTGTTACTGACGATGTTGAAATCCCATGGGACGATATTTTAATACCGCGAAATATAGTGATCGAGTCGCAAAAAAAGAAGCATCCATCTTCCAAGTATCCACCTCGTTCGTTACGAGGCAAGGGTGCTAAATGCTGTTGCGTTAGTGTTGGATGCAGGACGAAATTTACAGCAGCTTGTAAATAATTTATGAATCATCGACAATATTGGAATATAACAAGATTTTATTCTTCTAATATTTTTACTTCATTTATTTTTAATGTTATACACTTTTAC